GTTGACGCGAGTGCGTGAGAGTCGATGAGAGTATAGCGGTCAAACACGAGACTCGTTTGACTGGAGCTGTTTGCATTGGTAATGTCGCCTGATGTTCGATCAGGATTGACTTTCTTCAAAATTTCCATGCAACATTGTGCAATGCCATTTTTCGATAATTACGTCACAAATCTCTCCCCAATATAAACTCTATAAATACTGGAACGATAACTGCAGGTAAACGGCCCTATGATTGTGTGAAGCCAAGATGGCGACCTACAGAGCAGAGTCTGTGAAGATAGGATGGTCTGGAATCCCGGTAAACTTCAAAGCCACAAAATAGAAGGTCTTTGTTTGATGTTGAACTGTACCTCACCATGCACAAATCCTTTGTCTCAACTTCATTAAATATTATTCATCGTGGTTGCACGTTTCATCTCAGCTGTCCTTTTTGGACGGTTACTCAATTATACGAAAATACAATAAACTCAATCACCGTGACCTTGCACAAATTAACATAAACTCCGACGACAACAACAAAACACAATGACTGCTGTTTAGTTTCCAGACCATCATATTTTGATGGACAATATGTACAGAGGGAGTCTGTAGGTATAAAACACGTGTGTATTTTGCGTGGGCTACGCGCGGGAGCTGAAGGTTTTCCGATCGATGTTTTTCAATTTTCGCACATAAATGCTCATTTTAATGGTAAATACCCTATACATAAAAGCTAAAAACTGGATGAAAAGGTAAGATGATGCCACTGCAGACCGTATTGTTTTGTATTGTTCTGTGTTCAGTTCAAATCTAGCCTGCGTGGCAGTTCAAATCCCTCATAGATAGTCCAGAAAAACAAAGCTTTGTTGGTGTTTTTGGCACGGGATTTTTTCTGAACTTGTTTTTCACTCGTCAAATAACTTTATGATGAACTAGTGTTTCTAAAATTTGCTTATTCTGCAAGACCACATGCTTTATTTACTTAGGCCGGCCATGGTAAAGCAGGATTAAAAAAAATAGTCGCCCGAAAATTATGAAATTTCTACAGGAAATGATGCCAATTTTTCGTACTGAATTTGAGTGCGTTTCCGCGTAGGGGCCTGGGGCATACCTACAAGACCATAGAGATTATAGAGATTATAAATAACACCCAGAGGGGGCATCGAGGGTGAAATTTGGAAGCGCAGTAATGGGGGGCAAATTGAAATCACGGATAAACACCACACAATTATTGGGTTACACTTGAAACCAGAAAAATTTAGAACAAGTGTCACAAAATTGGATGTTTTATATGTTGTTTGTGATGTTACTCCGAGTGTATATCCACACCGGGCGAGCTTGAAAAATATGCCCGGCCACGGTGGGAATCGAACCTACGACCTTTGGAATACTAGCCCAATGCTCCGCCAACTGAGCTACGCGGTCAGGACGGTTCCAGTTAGTGATATTTCGGAACAGAATCTAGTTCCTTCGATACCAATGTCATCAATACCAATGTCACAAACATCATATTCACCTGAGTACACAACACCAACATAAAAAATCATATTACTAGATTACATTGGTATTGAAGGAACTAGATTCTGTTCCGAAATATCACTAACTCGAACCGTCCTGACCGCGTAGCTCAGTTGGCAGAGCATTGGGCTAGTATTCCAAAGGTCGTAGGTTCGATTCCCACCGTGGCCAGGCATATTTTTCAAGCTCGCCCAGTGTGGATATACACTCAGAGTAACATTACAAACATCATATTCACCTGAGTACACAACACCAACATAGAAAAATCATATTACTAGACTGATTACATTGGTATCGAAGGAACTAGATTCTGTTCCGAAATATCACTAACTCGAACCGTCCTGACCGCGTAGCTCAGTTGGCAGAGCATTGGGCTAGTATTCCAAAGGTCGTAGGTTCGATTCCCACCGTGGCCAGGCATATTTTTCAAGCTCGCCAGGTGTGGATATACACTCAGAGTAACATCACAAACATCATATTCACCTGAGTACACAACACCAACATAGAAAAATTGTTTTATATGTTTTGCATGTCATTGCTACAAACATTCCCCAAAATTTTTTAATTCAATTACGATTAATTCCTCTTGAAAAGATCAAAAGGAATTAGGCCAAGAAAATAGTAAAGACAGTTCTTTCGATAAATAGGTACGATGGACACTAACGCCCGTATTCTAAAAGCTCACACACTCAATGAGTGGAGGTTCAATCTGAGCTTCTCTCGAGTGTCAATGCTGTTTTTAAATAGCTGTACGGTGAGTGTCCATACAAATTGATAGGATTAATTCCAGCTGATCTGCACACTATTTTCGTAAGGCTGGTGGTTTAAACAATCAAAGTTTCTGTGATCACAGTAGGAATTTTGGATAGGTAAATTCTAAGTTTTGCCGTAAAGGTTGGTAAGAAATTTGAGAGAATCGACTCAATGTTTAACGCTGAGTCAGTTCCCTCAAACATTTCTTACAAACCTTCACTAAAACTTAGAATAGGCAATTCCAGCTTTTTGTTTATGCCTGCAGGGGAGGATGGGAAGTAAGGTATCATATTGCTGATTTGCTGGAAAATTTTCAATAAAAACTACTGAAACAACCGAAATATTTCAATATTTACAAGTATAAGCTATCACTCCGTGTTTACACGGCCACCATTTTTATTTTTTCAGCATAATCAGCTATGTGATACCTTACTTCCCATCGTCCCCTGCACGCATAAACTAAAAGCTGGAATTGCCTATTTATCTATGCAAAATTCCTACTGTGATCACACTGAAACTTTGATAGTGTAAAGTAACCTTTAGTATATATATAAGGATCAGTTTTAGAAACAAATTTCTAATGTCCTAAATTAGATACATCCTCACGGGGCTGTTCATATGAGCCTGGCTAGCCGGGATGACTCTATCTGGAACTTTTTCCTGACCATAAAAGATCGTTTGAATGAACTTTATACATTTGATGTTACTCTGAGTGTACTATCCACACCGGGCGAGCTTGAAAAATATGCCCGGCCACGGTGGGAATCGAACCTACGACCTTTGGAATACTAGCCCAATGCTCTACCAACTGAGCTACGTGGTCTGGTCGGTTCGAGTAAGTGATATTTCGGAACAGAATCTAGTTCCTTCGATACCAATGTAATCTTGTAATATGATTTTTTTTGTGCTGGTACACAACACCAGCACAAAAAAAAACCAAAAAAACTTTATACTGTTCAACTGGAATCAAACCAAGCTAACTCAACTTTGAAATGTCATTTTGGATGTTTATCAAAGCCATGATAAGCAGAGCTTTATTAAACGAACTGATCCCTGTTAACCTGGCCAGCCCGCCTCCATATAAATTTCACATTCATTGGTGAGCGGATTTCCCAACAGGCTATTGCCCAATTGATAGGGGATCCGAGGTACCTACGATCTTAACTTCGTTATCCAAGAAGACGCGAAAGTCTAACCCTTGATAGCCTACGGTACGTGTCTACACCGTAGGCTAAACCCTTGACTGATGTTAACATGCAAAGGTAGCTCTTTCCCCTCAATTATTTTAAGACCTTGAAAACACTAGTTCCGACCAAGGATTGAACCTGGGGCTTCCCGCTTGGAAGGCAAGCGTGCAGGTGATCACGGTACCACAACTAAATGGATAATCAAAAATCCATTATTATGGATAATCAAAAATCCATTCTATTTCGAATAAAATTCCACACAATTTCCATTCTATCGATTTTCAAAACTTTTTTTCCAGTGGCCAATTAGCTTTGAACCGAATATATATTTGGCAAGAAAGCCGCTACACCTTATTTTGGCTATATGCCGTAACGTACGTTTTCCGTTGAAGGTTTGTGTTTTCTGCCCCCACCCACTTTCTGCCCCTCCCCCCGCCTACACTGTGCAGCTTCCTTCCGCCCTTGCAAACAACAAACACGAAAAAACCACTTATCAAATAACCAACTCTCAAAAAAAGCTGAATAATAAACATGAAAGTCAACCCGACCAATGAAAATAACAAATAGCATATCCATGCAAGCACTCTCCCCTTAATAAGTAAAATCGTCTGGCGTTAGACAGAGTGATAACAAAGATATAATCTTGAATAGTCTATGGCAGTGTAGGTATAAACTTCGGGGGCCGGTTGTTCAAAGGTGGGTTAGCGCTAGCCCTGGGTTAAAATTTAACCTGCTGTTTTAGTTTGTGTATTTCTGCACGTCTGTTTATTTCAAAACTTCAGAGAAGTGAACTCCTATCGATCCAGACAAGATCTCTGAAGAAATATTTCCAAATTTATAGACAAGCTGTCAGGAAGTTTGCTTTGAATTTTAGGTTAACCTAGGGTTAAGCTAACCCAGCTTTGAACAATCGGCCCCAGATGGATAGGGATGCAAATACCTGGAAAGTACAAGGAGAACTTCGACGTTTCGAGCGAAGGCACTTCGTCGGTAGTAAGGCGCATTATCAATAGGATAAATAACACATAAAAAGGCTGTATAAACGGTTAGACTGCTTGACTACAAACCGCTGTAAAATGGAATCCGGTAGCGGAAACCACACAACCGCTTAACGAGTTATACATTAAACCTTTAACGACTTTAATTGCAAGTGATTATCAGTACAAATGAAAAAGTTATCAAAGGTATTTTCCAAGTCGACAAAAATATAGCTAACCTTTTTACTGATTCGATTATTGATTAGGGCTATATACTATTTGATCAATTCATCGAAGATGAGTCAGGATGACTACTTTTTCAGCCAAAGAAATAAAGCCTTTGCTGGCGAAGGAAGATATAGAAATCTTAGACCTATACACACTAGCTTTTAATTTCTGATATTCTCTTTGTTCAAAGCACTTGAAAAAGCTTTTTAAAGAGTCATTAAGTACCCAATGACGCTGAAAAAAATGTCCTTTCTAAGCACCCGGCTTCACGACTCCGTACACCTCCGCATTTTGACAGAGCGGAATACATCGCAATTAAGAATATTTATACTTCTAAATACACTCACCAAACGCGACGATGGCGAAGTATGTTGATAGGTTACGAACTTGGACGAATCCAACAATTGTTGTTAGTCAACACAGGCCAAAATTACAGGATGGTTTACTAGACAAAGGTAGAGACAGAGGTAGCTATGGTTAATTTCAGTTAAAGAAAGAAAATCATCGATGCTGACACTCCTGACAGAGTATTTGCTAATCTTCTATGTAGCTTTTTATATATCGGTCCCTTAAAACAAACGAGGATGAGAGTGCGGCATGAGAGTTGGCAGTCACGCGAATTCGGTTAGCTGTTCTGAATGCTTTCCCAGCACTATCATGTATTCTATTGAAGTTAAAACAGAGTTGGAAGACTCATCAAGCATTTATTTTGTTAATCTAGAGCTTAAAATGTCCCCAGTAACAATGCGTGACTGGCAACTCTCATGGCATCGTTTGACAAGCGTTACGTGTTCAACTTTGGAAATATTGACAGTTAGAATAGATATTAAGCAAGTATAATTAATTGAACTGTCAATTCTATTTATTTGCCTCCAAATACTGCAATATAATGAAACGAATTGACATTATTTTCTTTGATTTGGATTCTTGCACTTCACTTGGTGGAATTAATATTAGAATGTTAGGGTTTGTAATCCAAGTGAGAATATATACATCGCTGAATGCACCGGAATCGCAGGGCCGTAGGTTCAATTCCTACCAGAGGACCTTGTGCTGCATTTTTCGCAGTCGTTCCTGGTTAGGTCTTAAAATGTATATATTCTCACTTGGATTACAAACCCTAACATTCCATTATTTTCTTTCCATGATATACTGTATAACTGCTGGTTAACCACATGGAACTCCAGGGAGAACAGTTAAGAACGGTTGATTAATACTAGGGCTCCTGCAGTAACAGTGGACAAGTAAGGAGCGGTCATCACTTATAAGCCTAAGCAGTTCAGTTACCCTACCAAGCGGGTCATGCATGTTTTATTCGCCCTTTCGATACAATAAAACACGAAGTAAAAGACCACAGCATTGGAATGCAGCAAGCAAAGGCCCAAGACATACAATTATACAACTTGCCATACATCTGGCTTGGCGATCACGCGTAGGGTTACCCTTCCTAGCAACATAGCCCTAGTGGTAGGGTAACCCTATGTTTTTTACCCTCTTGGTAGGGTAGTGGAAGGGTTACCCTACCTCCATGTCAACAGGCACTAAGTCATATACCTGTCACGTTTTACCGAGGAAGAGTTACTATTTTTAGACTTTTGTAATTTTCAGGTATTCTTTTGTATTTTTAACTTAACTCTATTCCTAAATCTAACCCTTACTCTAATCCTAATCTTAATCCTTTCCCTAATCCTAAGCCTACTGAACCCTAAAAAGTAGTCTAAAAATAGTAAGTGCAGGTTCCTAAATCGTGATTCATATGTGTGACCCTGCCTGACGCGTTTACATGTCTTTTGTAAACAAAAGCATAGCCATAGAGAGGAAAGGAAAAATTGTCGAAGGGAAATTCACACCATGACCTCAGAATGCAATTATAAGTGCATCCAGTCTTAGTAATAGTGCGATAGTTATGTATAAATGTATTAGACTACAGAATGATGTAACAAATGTTGTGTGGCAAATGCATTTTTATGGCATCTGGGACATCTGATTTTTCAGTAGAATTTTCTGCGGAGGAGCATGGATACCCCCTGATATAGTGCCCCCAAGTAGTGCCCTTTGTGGCTGATATCAGTATTTACGTTAGGATCAGGCCCTTGATGCATATTTTCTAAATTAGTTTTAGGTTATATTTTAAGATTCTCAGTGCAATGAAATAAATTTTTTCTGTCACAAAGTATGGCATGACATCCAGTTTGACAACTTGTTAGTGTCACACAGTTACAGTGCCCGAGTGTCCATTTAAATACTTTAATGTTTGCAGAAAATTTTCAATGTTCTCTTGCCGGAGTCGCACCAAAAAGCAAACTATGTTTAGTTCCACCCCTGCAAGCTGCATGGGTAAACATTTTGAAAGTCCACACGACTCCAAAACCTTCACATTTTTGCATGCAAAATTAGATGGAATCATCTATATAGACTTAAATGATTTCATCTATTTTGAACAGTGAGCTTTATGACTTTGGCGTGACGGCCATCTTTGAGTTTTACCAGCTTGTGATGTCATAGATTTGTTTCATATCTCAAGAACGAGAAAGATAAAGAAAAGTTGTGCAATGAATTATTTTACAGTCTACCGAGTTCTTCTGTGTAAAAAGACAATTACGATTAACATTTCTATAGCGCAAATTTACATGTGGATATATGATCAAATACGCTTCACATGATCAAGCCTAATTACAGTTACTTAGCCTCTGGGCTTTTTTATCTGTATAACACTTGTGATATTACTTTCTTCATTTAACTGTGTTTATCCTAACCCACCCTGTCAACTTTCCCTGTGGGAGGAAACCGGAGCACCAGGAGAAGACCTGCTCGACTTTCCGTAGAGCGCAGGGATGAATATAACGGTCGGCCACCGGCCATTAGCCGAGCAAGATGCTGATATGGCCGTCTACTGATTACTCTGCACGGACATTGTTGCCAACCGTTTTGTCTCATCAATTTCCATATTTTTTTCTTTCTTAAAATTCATTCTTGCAAATCTTTTTAAATTAAACAAAATCTGTAATCTTTAATTAACACATGCAAACAAAGATTCCGTCTGCTAGACAATCATAGAATCTGACTTCGTCCCGATCCATACAATAACAATGTCATCTCGTGTGTTAAGAGAAATATTTCATATTATATATACTGTTACTGCGTAAGTTATCGTTGATATTGTGTAATTTTGTTAATCATTATGCATGTGGTTTTGGACTTTTGGTACGTAGTTGTTACGGTTTTGGTTTCTAGTACTATGACAACTGACAACGTCTCTCTTGAGAATAATGAAGTGTCGGATCATGTCCAACAAAAACATGGGTTGTTGGTCTGACACAATGTCAGACCAAGTTTTCAGAAGGCCTACTCTGGGACCTTAACTCGCCACGAGATAAGGCGAGCCTATGCGAGTTAAGGCGAGTTAAGGAAAAGATCTGGCTACTGACCCTTGCGAGTTAAGGCGAGTTAGGGCGAGTTAAGGTGCCAGAGTAGGCCTTTGAGAATTATATTGAACTCTGGCAGAGCGTTGACTGACTCTTTTAACATGAGTCCGTGCTGCGCACTGGCCGGTGAAAGGCGATTGCTCTGATGACTACACCACTGAAACATCATTGAGTAAATGTATGTCACTGATCAAGCGATAATGACGCAGTTTAATTTTCTCGCTCCCATCTTTATCAACTTTTATTGCAAAAATACTGATCTCTATATTTCCCAAGGTACAACTGGAGTGAACATGGAAAGGTTAAAAAGTTCCCTGGCTTTGTTGGAAAGTGCTTTGAAAGAGCGAAGCAAACAGATCGAAATTCAAGCGAGGGAGAACAATTTTTTACGCAAAGAACTACGGAGAAAAGATAGCATTATAAACGAATATGACAGAATGTTAAAACTATACAAGTTCAAGGAGAACCAAGAACTCGGAAAGTTACGCAAAGAGATCGGGAAGCTTCGTCATACGATTATGGATAATAATATGCTCATCCGGGAACACGAGAATCGAATTGACCAATTACAAAACAAGAATGAGAAATTGATGTCAGTGATGAAACCGCAGACCAGTGTGATACCACGTGTGCGGGCTCAGGGTGTGTCAGCCCCACCCATGACCTTCAGTGTGGATAGCTTACGGCGCTGGCCAAAAAATACAAGGTAAGACGGAACTGTTGGTAGGTTTCCACCTAGTGGTGTCTTGCACCCCTCTAGAGAAGTCCATCATCACCCCCAAAAATCTGCTTCACCATACATTTTCTGGCTTTCGAATAGCGATTAAAGGAACTTCTACAACTAGCGCGTGTCGATTTCTTGAAACGATTTAATTAATTTGTGAGCTCACGAGAAAATACTCAGAGTGCTGTAGTTCAATATCACTTAAATATGTAAACATGCCGAGGTTGTTATACAGTCATATTTTCAAATGTACTTTAACAAGCAATTTACTGTACTATGCTACAGCTACTGTCCAGTCACGCATACGTTATAAAAAGCCGATATATAATTTTATAAATAAAAGATAATGTAAAACGTAACAGAACGGCGAACATGCAGATTCGGCCTTCTCAAATAATGGTAATGTTGGGATAGTAGCGTTGCAGACTGCAGAGGAGAGTGGGCAGCAAGGCTCCCTCATGCATCACCCCATGGAAAACCTGCATCCCTTCTTGCAGATGAGGCTAGATCCGCCTGTGGAAAAGTATTAACAATATTTTTAGCGCAGTCTTGATCGATGTCATGAGACTGGGCGCAGGCCACATTTTTGGTTGTTTCACCAAGCATTATCGTGCAGCAGATATGGTCAACCTGTAGTTATCAGAGAAGATAATGTCAATTCCATTCATTAATATAATGTACGGCTATTTGGGGAGGGGGGCGGATTAACCACGTAGCAGATGCGGCATATGCCGCGGGCCTCGCGCTTTACTGTGCCACACCCATTTTTACGAGAACACGCCCATTTTAGGTGCCTTGCGAATTTAGATGCCTCGCGAATTTAGGGACCTCGCGCATTTATGGCCCCTACAATCAGGAGCAAAAATAATGAGACTTTTCACGTTTTTGGCCAGTTTCAAGTACGTCGGCCTCCCCCCTCCCCCCATGATCAATGTTGAAGAAAGCGGGTTGAATTTTCTCTTTTCAGTCATTCACACAACATTGAATTGGGGGTGCGGGGGGCATTTATGCGTTTGTCTCAATAATTTTTGCTCCTGATTGTAGGCTTGGCAGTTGGCCCCAGGAAAATATGCAGTACTTGTATGCATGTAATCTCCAGTTGCGCTGAGTTGTTATATGATCCTGTTTATACTTGTTGACCCAACAACTGAGCCAAGCAAGCCAGTGTCTTGTTTATAATTGATGCCAATAATTGAAATATTGAAAACAATTATTTAATAATTTTGTGTGTCTTTGAATTCAAAGGTTTTCAAACGGGGGAGGGGGGTGTGGGGCCTCGCGCTAAAATCTGCCACGGGCCTCGCGTAATGTTAATCCGGCCCTGAGGGGG